TCACTGTGGCAGTGGTAGACACATACATGACATGGATACTATAGTGTACAGGGCTTCACTGTGGCAGTGGTAGACACATACATGACATGGATACTATAGCGTACAGGGCTTCACTGTGGCAGTGGTAGACACATACATGACATGGATACTATAGTGTACAGGGCTTCACTGTGGCAGTGGTAGACACATACATGACATGGATACTATAGTGTACAGGGATTCACTGTGGCAGTGGTAGACACATACGTGACATGGATACTATAGTGTACAGGGCTTCACTGTGGCAGTGGTAGACACATGTACATGACATGGATACTATAGTGTAAGCAGGCCTACAGGGGTGTATCAGTGACCAGCTGGCCTACAGGGGTGTATCAGTGACCAGCTGGCCTACAGGGGTGTATCAGTGACCAGCTGGCCTACAGGGGTGTATCAGTGACCAGCTGGCCTACAGGGACGTATCAGTGACTAGCTGGCCTATAGGGGTGTATGAGTGACCAGCTGGCATATAGGGGTGTATCAGTGACTAGCTGGCCTATAGGGGTGTATCAGTGACCAGCTGGCCTACAGGGGTGTATCAGTGACCAGCTGGCCTACAGGGGTGTATCAGTGACCAGCTGGCCTATAGGGGTGTATCAGTGACCAGCTGGCCTACAGGGGTGTATCAGTGACCAGCTGGCCTATAGGGGTGTATCAGTGACTAGCTGGCCTACAGGGGTGTATCAGTGACTAGCTGGCCTACAGGGACGTATCAGTGACTAGCTGGCCTATAGGGGTGTATCAGTGACCAGCTGGCCTACAGGGGTGTATCAGTGACCAGCTGGCCTATAGGGGTGTATCAGTGACTAGCTGGCCTACAGGGGTGTATCAGTGACTAGCTGGCCTACAGGGGTGTATCAGTGACCAGCTGGCCTATAGGGGTGTATCAGTGACCAGCTGGCCTACAGGGGTGTATCAGTGACCAGCTGGCCTGTAGGGGTGTATCAGTGACTAGCTGGCCTACAGGGGTGTATCAGTGACTAGCTGGCCTACAGTAGGGGTGTATCAGTGACCAGCTGGCCTATAGGGGTGTATCAGTGACCAGCTGGCCTACAGGGGTGTATCAGTGACTAGCTGGCCTACAGTAGGGGTGTATCAGTGACTAGCTGGCCTACAGGGGTGTATCAGTGACTAGCTGGCCTACAGTAGGGGTGTATCAGTGACCAGCTGGCCTACAGGGGTGTATCAGTGACCAGCTGGCCTACAGGGGTGTATCAGTGACCAGCTGGCCTACAGGGGTGTATCAGTGACCAGCTGGCCTACAGGGGTGTATCAGTGACCAGCTGGCCTATAGGGGTGTATCAGTGACCAGCTGGCCTATAGGGGTGTATCAGTGACTAGCTGGCCTACAGGGCCTGCAGGAGCATATCACTGATGTTCCATTCCCTTTTATTCAGGAAGCAATATGAATCATACATCCTTGAGTTCAAGGCCTTGTAGTCTGACATTGTTTGTGCACTTCCACACTACTTCCTTTTGCTATCAGACACACATCATTCATCCAAAGACATTTCACGGAAACAATTGGCTCATCATGGAAACCACTGCACCTCAACTGATCATATAGATTACACTCACTTGAACTGCTGTGACAATGTCACAATAAACTGTGATGTGACAATGTCACAATAAACAGTGATGAGACAATGTCACAATTAACAGTGATGTGACAATGTCACAATAAACAGTGATGAGACACTGTTTCAATTAACTATGATGTGGCAATGTCACAATCAACTGTGATATGACAATGTTTCAAGTAACTGCATTCAAATCTTTATGCACACCAACTACTACCTGCAAACCTCCCAATATGACAACCACTACCTGCATATCTCCCAGCACACCAACCACTACCTGCATATCTCCCAGCACACCAACCACTACCTGCATATCTCCCAGCACACCAACCACTACCTGCATATCTCCCAGCACACCAACTACTACCTGCATATCTCCCAGCACACCAACCACTACCTGCATATCTGCCAGCTACCACTACCTCCATATCTGCCAGCTACCACTACCTGCATATCTGCCAGCACACCAACTACTACCTGCATATCTGCCAGCTACCACTACCTGCATATCTCCCAGCACACCAACCACTACCTGCATATCTCCCAGCACACCAACCACTACCTGCATATCTCCCAGCACACCAACCACTACCAGCATATCTCCCAGCACACCAACCACTCCCTGCAAACCTCCCAATATGACAACCACTACCTGCATATCTCCCAGCACACCAACCACTACCTGCATATCTCCCAGCACACCAACCACTACCTGCATATCTCCCAGCACACCAACCACTACCTGCATATCTCCCAGCACACCAACCACTACCTGCATATCTCCCAGCACACCAACCACTACCTGCATATCTCCCAGCACACCAACCACTACCTGCATATCTCCCAGCACACCAACTACTACCTGCATATCTCCCAGCTACCACTACCTGCATATCTCCCAGCAACCACTACCTGCATATCTCCCAGCATACCAACCACTACCTGCATATCTCCCAGCTACCACTACCTCCATATCTGCCAGCTACCACTACCTGCATATCTCCCAGCACACCAACCACTACCTGCATATCTGCCAGCTACCACTACCTGCATATCTCCCAGCACACCAACTACTACCTGCATATCTCCCAGCACACCAACCACTACCTGCAAACCTCCCAATATGACAACCACTACCTGCATATCTCCCAGCACACCAACCACTCCCTGCATATCTCCCAGCACACCAACCACTACCTGCATATCTCCCAGCACACCAACCACTACCTGCATATCTCCCAGCACACCAACCACTACCTGCATATCTCCCAGCACACCAACTACTACCTGCATTTCTCCCAGCAACCACTACCTGCATATCTCCCAGCACACCAACCACTACCTGCATATCTCCCAGCTACCACTACCTCCATATCTGCCAGCTACCACTACCTGCATATCTCCCAGCACACCAACTACTACCTGCATATCTGCCAGCTACCACTACCTGCATATCTCCCAGCACACCAACCACTACCTGCATATCTGCCAGCTACCACTACCTGCATATCTGCCAGCACACCAACTACTACCTGCATATCTCCCAGCACACCAACCACTACCTGCATATCTCCCAGCACACCAACCACTACCTGCAAACCTCCCAATATGACAACCACTACCTGCATATCTCCCAGCACACCAACCACTACCTGCATATCTCCCAGCACACCAACCACTACCTGCATATCTCCAAGCACACCAACCACTCCCTGCATATCTCCCAGCACACCAATCACTACCTGCATATCTCCCAGCTACCACTACCTGCATATCTCCCAGCACACCAACCACTACCTGCATATCTCCCAGCACACCAACCACTACCTGCATATCTCCCAGCACACCAACCACTACCTGCATATCTCCCAGCTACCACTACCTGCATATCTCCCAGCAACCACTACCTGCATATCTCCCAGCACACCAACCACTACCTGCATATCTGCCAGCACACCAACCACTACCTGCATATCTCCCAGCACACCAACCACTACCTGCATATCTCCCAGCACACCAACCACTACCTGCATATCTCCCAGCTACCACTACCTGCATATCTCCCAGCAACCACTACCTGCATATCTCCCAGCACACCAACCACTACCTGCATATCTCCCAGGACACCAACCACTACCTGCATATCTCCCAGCACACCAACCACTACCTGCATATCTCCCAGCACACCAACCACTACCTGCATATCTCCCAGCTACCACTACCTGCATATCTCCCAGCAACCACTACCTGCATATCTCCCAGCACACCAACCACTTCCTGCATATCTCCCAGGACACCAACCACTACCTGCATATCTCCCAGCACACCAACCACTACCTGCATATCTCCCAGCACACCAACCACTACCTGCATATCTCCCAGCTACCACTACCCGCATATCTCCCAGCACACCAACCACTCCCTGCACATCCCACGTTTCGTCTTTAACTATTTCACTTTCAGAGATGTTTACAGGCTGTTGGATGCTGGGCAGACATAAGTACCAGAGATACACAAGCAAACCTGGGACACGACACTGGGCCAATGTGGGGAACCAAACCCAGGCCTTTCCACTTGGCAAAAGAACTCTATAACCACTAGCCTGCCCCACCACTCACTCTAAAGAGAAGACATTTTTTTTCATGCTTGTAATGTGCTGCTTTGCTTTCTTAACTTTTGAAAGTACTTTTTTTTTATTTGGATGCAGTCAGAGACAAGTTAAACTTGTTATGAGGACAAGATATGGATTGGATGTGTTTGTGGATCATCCAATGAAGCAAGATGGACAGAAGACCCACAAGATAATGTCACATTGATGAGATAAGACATGACATCTATGATGAACTCTCGTAATGTTATTACTTGATTAATGGTTTCTGTTCTGATACAATTAAAAAAAGAAAGATTTTTTTGTGTGCCATCAGATCTGGGTATGTAACCTACATCGTTCTCTGACCTGTTGGATTGTGCCTTGTTCGGAGGTCAAATGGCAAATAATTATCGACAACCCAAAAGCTTGGATATTTTTGGGCTGTTGGTAAGCTAGTTTGGTTTTAAATTTCTTTTAGTCCAGCATCATTGTGCGGGACTCAAGTCTGGACTTTGTACCCATTTGGGCAACTCAACCTGTGTTCTTAGCTTGACGACTGAATGCCAAACCACGAGATCACCCCACCAGTAATGACATAGACATAGCTGCTCCCAAACTATTGCTAATTAGTAATACAACATTTATTGATAATGGAACCAGGGGTTTTGAAAACTGTTATGATCTGGAGATCGACTAACTTGTGCAACTTCACTTCACGTCATGATCCAAGGGAGACAACTCTGATAACCATGTGCCCATGCAATTACATCCAGAACAACAAAGTCATCCGGTTTGTTTAAACATTTATTGACATGTTGCACCAAGAATTTTTGCAATTAACAATAAGTCGTGAGATAGAATAAAATCTAGTTTGAAATATCAACCTTAAAGCAGTATATTAAAATATGTAGCTTTTACAAGAGGTATGAGACACTGTACTACACATCTGGGAGAACAAGGCTGCAATCCATCTTCGCAATGGCAGCTTGTGTTAAATCAGTAACTGTTATCAAGCACAAATATTTGCCTAACATTTGACTGACACATAAAAATTCTTTACAATTATGTAGATGTCCATATCTGCATGCAATAACTTTCAACATTACTGAACTTTATTTTACTGAGCATACATACTTCCACCGATACAACAAAACTCTCACAATGCTCCATGATACGACGAAAAGCAGGAGCAGCCAGCATAGCAGCATCCATGTCCACCGTATCCTCCAAATCACACACACAATTATACAGGCAAACAGAAGAAAGTAATAGTAAAGGAAGATCACACCAGAGATTTCATTTCTAGCAACAAGTCAAAATACACATGCCTTAGAGACATGGATTTGTAATTTCACATCCCTACAGAAATGGCTCGGGGAAATACACAGAAACAGTTCCAAGAAAACTTACCATTGAAAACCTGGTGCAGGCTGGTTAGATGTTTCATTGGCGACTACATGTCATATTCTTGTTGTACACATCTCAATGACTAACCTGGTTATCATAAATAAAATGTCATTTATTTTACTGACTCCGACAATTTGCCAACAAATAATAACACACAGCCTGAGAATCAAGAATGTCTTAAGTCTAGTTTTCAAACGTGATTCTTATGAAAGAACCAGCATTACATTTGCACATGTATGTACGATTTTAATTGTCAAAATAAATTGATTTGAGAGAAAAAAACACGCAAAAAAACAAGAAGAAAGTTAATACTACGTATGAAAATGTAGGGATTTTGAGCCTGGTGATCTTTCACTTCTTAGTCAAAATGTAGGAAGGAATATGTCAAGATGACAAATGTGATGACAAACAGCAAGTAATCACATACATGTGCTCATGATGGAGACACGTCAAACACAACGCAGGAGTCCTCGTGATGGAGACAGGTCAAACACATGATGCAAGACATGAGCAGAAAGGCAAGAAATACAACAGCATCATTCATCCTCGCTCAGTAGAAACACACATGGTGGCAAAGTTTACAAATGGAACTGCAACTTGGAATTTTACAGATGAGGGTTCACGGATTGGGAGGGTTGGGGTCCTGGATGGGAAGATTGGGCAGACGGGTTCATAGATTGTGCAAAAAAAGAGCCTACAGATGGTTAAGTTTTTTGGGCTTGGGAAAATGGGCGTCAAGGATTGGCGACATCTGCCAGACACACACATTTCAATAAATCCATGTGGGTTGAAGATATGAAAAATACACAGTATTCATGTATATTATACAGACCATTAATACAAAGGTAAAAAAATAAAACAACTGTTTACTGTACGATGGTCAACCAATAATTTAACTTGTGTCTGAAAACGTCTTACTTATTCTGCAAATAGTTATAGGGACAGCATTATCAGAATCAATGAGACATGTTTCTCCTGACATCACTAAGCAAAAGGAACTATCCCAAATATATAGAAAAGACCCTCTGAAAAGCTCAAAGTTTCCCCAAACACTGTTATTTGACATCCCTAACCACCTGATGGAGAACTCAATGCCTGTGTGTCATGTCAGCCCTTGCAGGGTATTCGAGTCATGCTGAGTGTAAACCTCTATCTTGTTGAGTACAGATATAACTATCCTTGGCTTCACGAAGAAACATCCCTAGTGTATGGTCAAAGCGAGCTACTGTTCAAGATCAGGTCCATGTCATTTACCACACGAGCACACGGATGAAAGTCAGAATGGTAAAACTCATGTTGAAAATGGACTGAAATTTCTTCATCTATTTGTGACCAATCTCATTGGAAAGTTATACATACATTGTGATGTGATATCGATAATCTCCAAACAATACTGAACAACTATTTTCAACAATGCTTTCCAAACAAATTAATAAGAATTTATTTGCTATATCATAACAGCCATCACAGAGAAGCCTTCAAACGCACTGCTCAACAAGTGTTATTTTGTGTTTTCTTCTATCTTTGAGATAAGTTCTTCAGCATCTTCTGAAGTCTTGACACGAAGCAGAATTGGATATGGCTTGTCACTGGCTGCCTTCACGTCAAAGGGCGGGTTAGGGATGCACACAAAGAACACATTATTTTTTCCTTGCTTCTTGACTGTCATAGATTCTGACATGATAATATTCAGCATAATGCTTCCTGTAAAAGAACACAAAAAATGGTTAAATGTCATACAAGAGTGTGATGTACAGTTTGTACCAGAGAATTACTGCCATTCAAAATAAGGCAATCAGGCTGTTACTATGCATCTATGTTTTATTCGTCATGTATTAGCTATTTTTATTGACATATATTCAACTGAGCAAGTGAATGGCTACCTGGGACATAAGTTGTTGAAGGCCCTGGCTGACATCTACACCATCTGGGCAACATGACACAATCTGGGCAACCATCTATGCCATTTGGGCAACCATCCATGCCATCTGGGCAACCATCCATGCCATCTGGGCAACCATTAATACAATCTGGACAACCGTCCATGCCATCTGGGCAACCATCAATGCCATCTGGGCAACCATCTGGACCATCTGGGCAACCGTCCATGCCATCTGGGCAACCATCCATGCCATCTGCGCAACCATCAATACAATCTGGACAACCGTCCATGCCATCTGGACAACCGTCCATGCCATCTGGACAACCATCCATGCCATCTGGACAACCGTCCATGCCATCTGGGCAACCATCAATACCATCTGGGCAACCATCCATGACATCTGGGCAACCATCAATACCATCTGGGCAACCATCCATGACATCTGGGCAACCGTCCATGCCATCTGGGCAACCGTCCATGACATCTGGGCAACCGTCCATGCCATCTGGACAACCGTCCATGCCATCTGGGCAACCATCAATACCATCTGGGCAACCATCCATGACATCTGGGCAACCATCAATACCATCTGGGCAACCATCCATGACATCTGGGCAACCATCCATGCCATCTGGGCAACCATCCATGACATCTGGGCAACCATCCATGACATCTGGGCAACCATCTGGACCATCTGGGCAAACATCCAGACCACCTGGGCAACCATCCATGACATCTGGGCACCATGTATAATCTGGGCCACCATCCCACATCAATTCATTACAATCAGATCTGTTTCTCTGATTGGGTAGCTCTCTGTCATGATCGAACACTCCAAATCAATAGAACTTTCTAATTGACTCAAACGTGTGGAGGCTTCTTAATTCTTGAAGCTTTTGCAGTGAGTGAGTGAGTGAGTGAGTGAGTTGGGTTTAATGCCGCTTTTAACAGTATTCAAGTTATATCGCGGCGTGTCAGCTTAATGTGGGAGGAAAGCCCGAAGTGATGCAGGTCTCAGATGTTTACCAATCGGTGAAACCCACGAGCATGGGTATGGTGCTGACAAACCTAGAAACATAATGGGGCGAACCGGGATTCGAACCCACAATCATAGGTTTCTGGCCTGCCCAAGGGACGCAACTCTGCACAGCGAATCGCGGCGCCTTAGACGACTGGGCCACCCGTGCCCCCTGAAGCTTTTGGAACATGTTATTTCTGTATATAGCGAATAAAGGCAGTTCTGAATGGCGATGAGGGACACACATAATTACATGTTTCAAGTATTGTGGGCATGTCAGATGTTGACACAGCGAGGTATCAAAAGGTGTTTTGAGGGATTGGGGACTATTCTTAATCTAAAATACAATCCAGCTACAACCCAGATACCATGACTACATAGCCACATGTTGCTCCTGATTACAAGAATCCATGCTTCGTGTGCTTGGATACCCCTACTGATGATGTAACAAAAATTGAAAGTCGTACCAAGGTTTGTGTCTGCTCGGATTATCAGTTGCAGCTTGTCACTGGCCTTCTTGAGATGCAGGTTGCCCACGCCACGTTCCACCCACTTCTCATCCTTCTGGTAGAACAACTTACACCTGTAGGACACATGAACACACACAGCTTACACCTGTAGGACACATGAACACATACAGCTTACACCTGCAGGACACATGAACACACACAGCTTACACCTGCAGGACACACAAACACATACAGTTTACACCTGCAGGACACACAAACACATACAGTTTACACCTGTAGGACACACAAACACACACAGCTTACACCTGTAGGACACACAAACACATACAGTTTACACCTGTAGGACACACAAACACATACAGCTTACACCTGTAGGACACACGAACACATACAGCTTACACCTGTAGGACACACGAACACACACAGTTTACACCTGTAGGACACACGAACACATACAGCTTACACCTGTAGGACACACGAACACATACAGCTTACATCTGTAGGACACACGAACACATACAGCTTACATCTGTAGGACACACGAACACATACAGCTTACATCTGTAGGACACACGAACACATACAGCTTACATCTGTAGGACACACGAACACACACAGTTTACACCTGTAGGACACACGAACACATACAGCTTACACCTGTAGGACACACGAACACACACAGTTTACACCTGTAGGACACACGAACACATACAGCTTACACCTGCAGGACACACGAACACATACAGCTTACACCTGTAGGACACACGAACACACACAGCTTACACCTGTAGGACACAGAAACACACATAGCTTACACCTGCAGGACACAGAAACACACATAGCTTACACCTGCAGGACACAGAAACACACATAGCTTACACCTGCAGGACACACAAACACACATAGCTTACACCTGCAGGACACAGAAACACACATAGCTTACACCTGTAGGACACACAAACACACATAGCTTACACCTGTAGGACACACAAACACACACAGCTTACACCTGTAGGACACACGAACACATACAGCTTACACCTGTAGGACACACGAACACATACAGCTTACACCTGTAGGACACACGAACACACACAGCTTACACCTGTAGGACACAGAAACACACATAGCTTACACCTGCAGGACACAGAAACACACATAGCTTACACCTGCAGGACACAGAAACACACATAGCTTACACCTGCAGGACACACAAACACACATAGCTTACACCTGTAGGACACACAAACACACACAGCTTACACCTGTAGGACACACGAACACATACAGCTTACACCTGTAGGACACACGAACACACACAGCTTACACCTGTAGGACACAGAAACACACATAGCTTACACCTGCAGGACACAGAAACACACATAGCTTACACCTGCAGGACACAGAAACACACATAGCTTACACCTGCAGGACACACAAACACACATAGCTTACACCTGCAGGACACAGAAACACACATAGCTTACACCTGTAGGACACACAAACACACATAGCTTACACCTGTAGGACACACAAACACACACAGCTTACACCTGTAGGACACACGAACACATACAGCTTACACCTGTAGGACACACGAACACATACAGCTTACACCTGTAGGACACACGAACACACACAGCTTACACCTGTAGGACACAGAAACACACATAGCTTACACCTGCAGGACACAGAAACACACATAGCTTACACCTGCAGGACACAGAAACACACATAGCTTACACCTGTAGGACACACAAACACACATAGCTTACACCTGTAGGACACAGAAACACACATAGCTTACACCTGCAGGACACAGAAACACACATAGCTTACACCTGTAGGACACACAAACACACATAGCTTACACCTGCAGGACACACAAACACACATAGCTTACACCTGCAGGACACAGAAACACACATAGCTTACACCTGTAGGACACACAAACACACATAGCTTACACCTGTAGGACACACAAACACACATAGCTTACACCTGTAGGACACACAAACACACATAGCTTACACCTGCAGGACACACAAACACACATAGCTTACACCTGTAGGACACACAAACACACACAGCTTACACCTGCAGGACACACAAACACACACAGCTTACACCTGTAGGACACACAAACACACACAGCTTACACCTACAGGACACAGAAACACACATAGCTTACACCTGTAGGACACAGAAACACACATAGCTTACACCTACAGGACACAGAAACACACATAGCTTACACCTGCAGGACACAGAAACACACATAGCTTACACCTACAGGACACAGAAACACACATAGCTTACACCTGCAGGACACACAAACACACATAGCTTACACCTGCAGGACACAGAAACACACATAGCTTACACCTGCAGGACACAGAAACACACACAGCTTACACCTGTAGGACACAGAAACACACACAGCTTACACCTGCAGGACACAGAAACACACACAGCTTACACCTGCAGGACACAGAAACACACACAGCTTACACCTACAGGACACACAAACACACACAGCTTACACCTGTAGGACACACAAACACACATAGCTTACACCTACAGGACACACAAACACACATAGCTTACACCTGTAGGACACACAAACACACACAGCTTACACCTGTAGGACACACGAACACATACAGCTTACACCTGCAGGACACACGAACACATACAGCTTACACCTGTAGGACACACGAACACACACAGCTTACACCTGTAGGACACAGAAACACACATAGCTTACACCTGTAGGACACAGAAACACACACAGCTTACACCTGCAGGACACAGAAACACACACAGCTTACACCTACAGGACACAGAAACACACATAGCTTACACCTGTAGGACACACAAACACATAGCTTACACCTGCAGGACACAGAAACACACACAGCTTACACCTGCAGGACACAGAAACACACATAGCTTACACCTGTAGGACACAGAAACACACACAGCTTACACCTGTAGGACACAGAAACACACACAGCTTACACCTGTAGGACACAGAAACACACATAGCTTACACCTACAGGACACAGAAACACACATAGCTTACACCTGTAGGACACACAAACACACATAGCTTACACCTGCAGGACACAGAAACACACATAGCTTACACCTGTAGGACACACAAACACACATAGCTTACACCTGTAGGACACAGAAACACACATAGCTTACACCTGCAGGACACAGAAACACACACAGCTTACACCTGCAGGACACAGAAACACACACAGCTTACACCTGTAGGACACAGAAACACACACAGCTTACACCTGTAGGACACACAAACACACACAGCTTACACCTGTAGGACACACAAACACACACAGCTTACACCTGTAGGACACAGAAACACACACAGCTTACACCTGTAGGACACAGAAACACACACAGCTTACACCTGTAGGACACACAAACACACACAGCTTACACCTACAGGACACAGAAACACACATAGCTTACACCTACAGGACACACAAACACACATAGCTTACACCTGTAGGACACACAAACACACATAGCTTACACCTACTGGACACAGAAACACACATAGCTTACACCTGTAGGACACAAACACACACAGCTTACACCTACTGGACACAGAAACACACACAGCTTACACCTGTAGGACACACAAACACACACAGCTTACACCTACAGGACACACAAACACACATAGCTTACACCTGCAGGACACACAAACACACACAGCTTACACCTGTAGGACACACAAACACATACAGCTTACATCTGCAGGACACAAATGTGGCGATCAATTCTATGAGGGGATGGGGTACTGGGGACCTATTCTGTGGGAAGACAAACAAGGGGTAGTGAAGACCTACTTTTAAAGGCAATCACACAGGGTGTGATGGGGACAGCCCAGTGTGGTTATGTCCATGAAGGTGGATGCTCACCTCTTGCTGTAGAAGGAGTCGGGCTCCTTGACTTCACTGACTTCAGCTGTAGGAGGAACATACTCCTCATCGCCACCTGCAACACGGGCGGGGGGATCAGATACAGTCACTCACTCCAAGGTTTGGGTGGAAAATGCAAACCCCTTGCAACGGAGAAGCTCAATGCTTTTACTTTTTGAGGTTTTTCATTTTCAACCAATACCGAGGAGCATCTTTACTAAATTTGAACCATCTAAAAGCAAGAAATACCAAAAAAAGAACAAGAAAACAGCATTATCACTAGCCCCTGCCATGGGGCACATTAGAATTTTGTCTATTCATATAGTGAATACAAACTACAAAAAAGAGTCCTATAAAGTCTTAAGAAGACATCCGCAACTTGGACCGCTTTGTGTCACCAGAAAAAATGATTAAATGTGAAATTAATACACACAAAAAGGCACCTTCTCGGGGAAAGTATCTCTTAGATAAGCTAACTGCAAAAACAATGCCATGACAACGTGGATCAGTGATTGAGTGAGTGAGTTGGGTTTAATGCCGCTTTTAACAGTATTCCAGTCATATCACGGCGTGTCAGCTTAATGTGGGAGGAAAGCCCGAAGTGATGCAGGTCTCAGACGTTTACCACTTCGGTAAAACCCACGAGCACGGGTATGGTGCTGACAAACCTAGAAACATAATCGGTGTGAACCGGGTTTTTTAACCCACAATCATTGGTTTCTGGCGTGCCCAAGGGATGCAACTCTGCACAGCGAATCGCGGCGCCTTAGACGACTGGGCCACCCGTGGCCCCATCAACATGGATCAAGGGCCATAACTATGTAAAATTAATAATTGACATGACCAATTTTCGAACTCAGTCTTGACTTTTGAAGTTCTCTCTTAGATAAGCATGCAAACTTTCATTCATGTAACTTAATTAGTTACTGAGAAAACATGTCTCCATTTCACCCAGTATGCCACTTAGTTGAAAAAGCACGAAACAAGGGACATAACTCTGTCAAACATTAATTTACAACACCAATTTTCAAACTCATTTGAGATCATGACCAGTACCATCAGTGTGTTAAATTTCATTTCTCTGACTAAAATAGTTTTTGAGAAAATTTGTCCCCTTCGTGGCGGGGGATAACAAGAAAACATTGACAGTATACCTTACAGTGAAACAATACAGTAGTTGTGGTATAAAACATATTCAACAGCAGGCGAGAGAAAGACTATGTGCAACATGTAGACAACTGAAGTCATGGCATGTAAGGTAGAACAGCCTTTCATCACCTTAAATGGTGACTCAATTGGTTACAATACTACAACATGTGAGGTTGTAGGTTTGATTCATGTCATTGAATTAGCATGTGAAAAACCAGTCAAAAATCCACATTGGATGCATATTAAAAGGCTGTTTACTATGAGATAGGAAAATACTTACAATACAAAAGGTAAAAGACCCAGTAAGTTCATAGCAAACATTCATTCCCATCAAATGTCCTGTGACTATATTCAATACACTGCCCAAATAAAAACAGTGGCTGAACAGAGGTCATTGTACCAATGTGGGGACTCGATTCTAGGCTTTAGGCATGACTTATAAACCTCTTTCGAAGTTACTTTGTTATAAATAAAGGTTTGACTTTTCTAGGGTAAACCCATAAAGGAGTTATTTCCTCAGAATAACTCCCTAATTTCCCTCCTCCAGGGGCTTACATTCACCGTCAAGGATTCGTGTGGAGTTTATATCCATTACAAGAAAACTTTAAGCCATGAAGTGACCTCAACACTAAACGGGTAAGGGATCAAGGCATGGCTGAGGGACGCCATTCTGCACAGCGATTGTGACGCCCTGAAAAGACTTTTCAACTGAACCTCTTACCTGCATCGGTATTGGTCTTGGGAACAGAGGTGGACCCAAAGGCGAAGCTTCCAACTGAGGCGCTGCTACTTTTGGTGAAGTTGAAGCCAGAGAAGCCACCATTCCCTGGTGCAGAGCCGCCAAAGCTGCTAGCAGTAGAACCCAACTGTCCAAATCCATTGCTAGGCAACTTGAACCCTCCAGTAATTGTACCTGCTAATGTGAACATGGGCACACGATCATTATACCTTTGACGTTACAAGTTGAGAAGTGAGTGCACTATGCACAAAAGGAAGGGAGTGAATGGGGTTTGTTTCAACGCGGTCGACAATATTCCAGCTATATCACTGCAGACTGCCGAGGTTGATATTTTGAGTAATGCCCAACACTGTCATAACAGTGCATAATGACACAAAATCAACCAAGTCACCGAGTCTGACCATCCAATTTACTAATCACCCCATTTTCACAACAGACTTCAGTGTATCTCAGTATTTTACCTCCTCTCTCCACCTACCCACCCCGGATATCCACCTCCACCCACACCGAATCTCCACCTCCACCCACCCCGAATCTCCACCCACCCCGGATCTCCACCTCCACGCACCCCAGATCTCCACCTCCACCCACCCCGGATCTCCACCCCCACCCACCCCGAATCTCCACCTCCACCCACCCCGAATCTCCACCTCCACCCACCCCGGATCTCCACCTCCACCCACCCCGGATCTCCACCCCCACCCACCCCGAATCTCCACCTCCACCCACCCCGGATCTCCACCTCCACGCACCCCGAATCTCCACCCCCACCCACCCCGGATCTCCACCTCCACCCACCCCGAATCTCCACCTCCACCCACCCCGAATCTCCACCTCCACCCAACCCGAAACTCCACCTCCACCCACCCCGGATCTCCACCTCCCCCAACCCCGGATCTCCACCTCCCCCAACCCCGGATCTCCATCTCCACCCACCCCGGATCTCCACCTCCACCCACCCCGGATCTCCACCTCCACCCACCCCGGATCTCCACCTCCACCCACCCCGGATCTCCACCCCCACGCACCCCGGATCTCCACCTCCACCCACCCCGGATCTCCACCTCCACCGGATCTCCATCCCGGATCTCCACCTCCACCCACCCCGGATCTCCACCTCCACGCACCCCGGATCTCCACCACCACCTACCCCAGATCTCCACCTCCACACACACCGGATCTCCACCCCCACGCACCCCGGATCTCCACCTCCACCCACCCCGGATCTCCACCTCCACCCACCACCGGATCTCCACCTCCACCCACCCCGAATCTCCACCACCACCCACCCCGGATCTCCACCTCCACACACCCCGGATCTCCACCCCCACCCACCCCGGATCTCCACCTCCACCCACCCCGGATCTCCACCTCCACCTCCACGCACCCCGAATCTCCACCCCCACCCACCCCGGATCTCCACCTCCACCCACCCCGGATCTCCACCTCCACCCACCCCGGATCTCCACCACCACCCACCCCGGATCTCCACCTCCACCTCCACCCACCCCGGATCTCCACCTCCACCTCCACCCACCCCGAATCTCCACCTCCACCCACCCCGGATCCCAGTTGAAAAATAGGTCCTCAGCAACCAATGCTGGTTGTAAGAGGCGATGTAATTTCACATTACTAACAGTCCTTTCTCTAAGGGGCAGTTGCCTGTCCAAGTTTCTTACCTGTTTCCAGTTTCTTCTCCTTGGCAGGCTCTTCACCTTTTGTAGAGTCAGAAGTGGGCTTCGCATCTTTCTTCTTTTCCTTCTCCAATTCCTCCAAATGTTTCTCATAATCTTTGAATATCGGAGTCAATATACAGAATGGGTTCTTTTCCACATGCTGTTCAATCCAAGTCACCACACTCTGGTTCAAACTTTTCAAGTTCATTAAGAATTCCGATTCGGATTTACTGCCACCATTCTCACTTTTTACAGAATCAGTCTTTCCTGAATTTGAACCATTTTTGTTTTTGTCTGTGAAAAGAGCCCCGCCAAAACTTGCTGTGGATGCATTTGACTTGAATCCTGCGAATCCTGTGAACACACTAGCTCCACCTTCCTACAAACAGATCATCATTGCAACTGAAAGTGAGTGGTAGACATAAGGAAACTGAGTGTGGTCAAAGGGAGACAATTCTGCCCGGAAACTTGATCTACAAACTTCCAGCACCAGGTTGGAGATATAAGCTTGCTGCTCCAATAGTGCCCATTATAAAACAAATGTTTAAAATCATCATGTATCATATTGAGAAGAATTAAGTGGAATAAACTGCCTATAATTATCTTAACCACACATACAAATAATTCATCAATAGTAAAACAATTTCCTGATTTAGTGTGTATACATTTTGGCAAATAGATAACAATGTGTGTATTCGTCTATTGTCAAATGTGCAGCGACATTCGACTGACATTGAATGCAATATGGTGATTGTAAACATGAGTGTTCTGCAATTGACTTAAAATATATAGTAGGCCTCCTGACACCTGTTGAGTGAACACACATCCCAGCAGGCGTTAGGAGTGTCAAATTCAACAGTTTCAATCGTTGTAATTAGTTATGAATAACATAAATTATGCTAATTTCAAACCTGCCTGTGTGTTGGTAAGCAAGGGTTACAACAAGTTCAGATTAGAGTTACTTCCCTTTAATCTGAGTAGCGACAAGTAGCAAATTGGCTGACCTCGTGATTGTTAGCAATTCTTTAATGATTTCTACAACATATAATAATCAAGCCTTAAAGTTGGTTAACTTCTATCATAATACTATTGCAAACAGTATCACCACAATTGGTACTGCACATTCATTAAGATTTTATATTTGACAACACTGTTGGCTGAACATGCTGAAGTGGTTGAGCAGGCTGGCTGCAGACGAGGCAGCCATTACAGAAGGAAGCTGGCTGCAGATGAGGCAGCCATTACAGAAGGAAGCTGGCTGCAGACGAGGCAGCCATTACAGAAGGCAGATGGCTGCAGACGAGGCAGCGATTACAGAAGGAAGCTGGCTGCAGACGAGGCAGCCATTACAGAAGGAAGCTGGCTGCAGATGAGGCAGCGATTACAGAAGGAAGATGGCTGCAGACAGGGCCATTACAGAAGAAAGCTGGCTGCAGACGAGGCAGCGATTACAGAAGGAAGCTGGCTGCAGATGAGGCAGCCATTACAGAAGGCAGATGGCTGCAGATGAGGCAGCGATTACAGAAGGAAGCTGGCTGCAGACGAGGCAGCGATTACAGAAGGAAGCTGGCTGCAGATGAGGCAGCCATTACAGAAGGAAGATGGCTGCAGACGAGGCAGCGATTACAGAAGGAAGATGGCTGCAGACGAGGCAGCCATTACAGAAGGAAGCTGGCTGCAGACGAGGCAGCCATTACAGAAGGAAGCTGGCTGCAGACGAGGCAGCCATTACAGAAGGAAGCTGGCTGCAGACGAGGCAGCGATTACAGAAGGAAGCTGGCTGCAGATGAGGCAGCCATTACAGAAGGCAGATGGCTGCAGATGAGGCAGCCATTACAGAAGGAAGCTGGCTGCAGACGAGGCAGCCATTACAGAAGGAAGCTGGCTGTTGATGAGGCAGCCATTACAGAAGGCAGATGGCTGCAGACGAGGCAGCGATTACAGAAGGAAGATGGCTGCAGACGAGGCAGCCATTACAGAAGGAAGATGGCTGCAGACGAGGCAGCCATTACAGAAGGAAGATGGCTGCAGATGAGGCAGCCATTACAGAAGGAAGCTGGCTGCAGATGAGGCAGCGATTACAGAAGGAAGCTGGCTGCAGACGAGGCAGCGATTACAGAAGGAAGATGGCTGCAGACGGCCATTACAGAAGGAAGCTGGCTGCAGACGAGGCAGCGATTACAGAAGGAAGATGGCTGCAGACGAGGCAGCGATTACAGAAGGAAGATGGCTGCAGACGAGGCAGCGATTACAGAAGGAAGATGGCTGCAGACGAGGCAGCCATTACAGAAGGAAGCTGGCTGCAGACGAGGCAGCGATTACAGAAGGAAGATGGCTGCAGACGAGGCAGCCATTACAGAAGGAAGCTGGCTGCAGACGAGGCAGCCATTACAGAAGGAAGATGGCTGCAGATGAGGCAGCGATTACAGAAGGAAGATGGCTGCAGACAGGGCCATTACAGAAGGAAGCTGGCTGCAGACGGGCAGCGATTACAGAAGGAAGCTGGCTGCAGACGAGGCAGCGATTACAGAAGGAAGATGGCTGCAGACAGGGCCATTACAGAAGGAAGCTGGCTGCAGACGAGGCAGCGATTACAGAAGGAAGCTGGCTGCAGACAAGGCAGCGATTACAGAAGGAAGATGGCTGCAGACGAGGCAGCGATTACAGAAGGAAGATGGCTGCAGACGAGGCAGCCATTACAGAAGGAAGCTGGCTGCAGACGAGGCAGCGATTACAGAAGGAAGATGGCTGCAGACGAGGCAGCCATTACAGAAGGAAGCTGGCTGCAGACGAGGCAGCCATTACAGAAGGAAGCTGGCTGCAGACGAGGCAGCGATTACAGAAGGAAGATGGCTGCAGACGAGGCAGCGATTACAGAAGGAAGATGGCTGCAGACGAGGCAGCCATTACAGAAGGAAGCTGGCTGCAGACGAGGCAGCCATTACAGAAGGCAGATGGCTGCAGACGAGGCAGCGATTACAGAAGGAAGATGGCTGCAGACAGGGCCATTACAGAAGGAAGCTGGCTGCAGACGAGGCAGCGATTACAGAAGGAAGATGGCTGCAGACGAGGCAGCGATTACAGAAGGAAGATGGCTGCAGACGAGGCAGCCATTACAGAAGGAAGATGGCTGCAGACGAGGCAGCCATTACAGAAGGAAGCTGGCTGCAGACGAGGCAGCGATTACAGAAGGAAGATGGCTGCAGACGAGGCAGCCATTACAGAAGGAAGCTGGCTGCAGACGAGGCAGCCATTACAGAAGGAAGCTGGCTGCAGACGAGGCAGCGATTACAGAAGGAAGATGGCTGCAGACGAGGCAGCGATTACAGAAGGAAGCTGGCTGCAGACGAGGCAGCCATTACAGAAGGAAGCTGGCTGCAGACGAGGCAGCCATTACAGAAGGCAGATGGCTGCAGACGAGGCAGCCATTACAGAAGGAAGCTGGCTGCAGACGAGGCAGCCATTACAGAAGGCAGATGGCTGCAGATGAGGCAGCCATTACAGAAGGAAGCTGGCTGCAGACGAGGCAGCCATTACAGAAGGCAGATGGCTGCAGACGAGGCAGCCATTACAGAAGGAAGCTGGCTGCAGACGAGGCAGCCATTACAGAAGGCAGATGGCTGCAGATGAGGCAGCCATTACAGAAGGAAGCTGGCTGCAGACGAGGCAGCCATTACAGAAGGAAGCTGGCTGCAGATGAGGCAGCCATTACAGAAGGCAGATGGCTGCAGATGAGGCAGCCATTACAGAAGGAAGCTGGCTTCAAAAAATAATGCCACAACCATCATCTTGACACTTGAACCCCAGACTATTGGATTTGGTATTTTGTTTGTTGGTGTATAATGCCGCACTCAGCAATATTCCAGCTATATGATGGCGATATGTAAATAACTGGCTCAGACAATCCAGTGGTTGACATGGGATAAGATGGCATGCATCAACCAAGTCAGCGAATTTGACTCTTACGACAAGCACGGGTTGCTGAAGAAACTATTCTATCCCGGATCTTCACGAGTGTCCAGGTCATTGGATCCTGCTCTTGCATCTTCAATTTTATGCCACATCCCTGTCACTTGTCAATATATTCTAATAACTTCTCAGAGGATTTTTCACATTTCCAAAGTTCAAATTTATACCCACTGAGAATTTCATTTCACAAACAAACATTCCTACCCCCCCCCCAATGTTATGTTCTATTGAGGGCAAGACTTCAGCTTTATTCATGGTAGGGGATGACCAACACTGATGAACACTGATCTTAATACCTTGAACAGAGTCTTATCATGTTGCACTCATTCACTTAGGCTTAGAGATCATCTCTTCAGACGTTTCACAAGTTGAAACTTAACAGATGGATGTCAACACAACATAAAAGCTCACTTCCAGTTCCACCTTCAGTGCTGTTCAGCAAAACTGTATAGTTCAACAAAACATTTTTTTGAAAAAAATCAGAAAAAAAACCAATACTGAGATGTTTGAGTTCTTATCCCTGGGGTTCAACACTTACACTTCCAGCGTCCATCCCCCGTCGCTTGGCTTTCTTTATCTGCCGGGTTTTCAGGACGTCCTCGGTAGCCTGGATGAATTCTCCAGCCTGAAATGATCAAATTTACAATGGACTGACTATACTTCCCATTCACAGCAGGCTTCACATACCGCCAACTACCTGGACTGACTGTACTTCCCATTCACAGCAGGCTTCACATACCGACAACTGCCTGGACTGACTGTACTTCCCATTCACAGCAGGCTTCACATACCGACAACTACTGGACTGACTGTGCTTCCCATTCACAGCAGGCTTCACATACCGACAACTACCTGGACTGACTGTGCTTCCCACTCACAGCAGGCTTCACATACCAACAACTACCTGGACTGACTGTGCTTCCCACTCACAGCAGGCTTCACATACCGACAACTACCTGGACTGTTTGTACTTCACACTCACAGCAGGCTTCACATACCAACAACTACCTGGACTGACTGTGCTTCCCCTTCACAGCAGGCTTCACATACCGACAACTACCTGGACTGACTGTGCTTCCCACTCACAGCAGGCTTCACATACCGACAACTACCTGGACTGTTTGTACTTCACATTCACAGCAGGCTTCACATACCGACAACTACCTGGACTGACTGTGCTTCCCATTCACAGCAGGCTTCACATACCGACAACTACCTGGACTGACTGTGCTTCCCACTCACAGCAGGCTTCACATACCAACAACTACCTGGACTGACTGTGCTTCCCATTCACAGCAGGCTTCACATACCGACAACTACCTGGACTGACTGTGCTTCCCACTCACAGCAGGCTTCACATACCAACAACTACCTGGACTGACTGTGCTTCCCACTCACAGCAGGCTTCACATACCGACAACTATCTGGACTGTTTGTACTTCACACTCACAGCAGGCTTCACATACCGACAACTACCTGGACTGACTGTGCTTCCCATTCACAGCAGGCTTCACATACCGACAACTACCTGGACTGACTGTGCTTCCCACTCACAGCATGCTTCACATACCAACAACTACCTGGACTGACTGTGCTTCCCACTCACAGCAGGCTTCACATACCGACAACTATCTGGACTGTTTGTACTTCACACTCACAGCAAGCTTCACATACCGACATCTACCTGGATTGACTATGCTTCCCACTCAAAGCAGCAGGCTTCCCATACTGACAACTACCTGGGCTGACTGTACTTCCCACTCACAGCAGGCTTCACATACCGACAACTATCTGGACTGACTGTGCTTCCCACTCACAGCAGGCTTCACATACAGACACCTACCTGGATTGACTGTGCTTCCCACTCACAGCAGCAGGCTTCACATACTGACAACTACCTGGGCTGACTGTACTTCCCACTCACAGCAGGCTTCACATACCGACAACTACCTGGACTGTCCTACCTGTTACAGTTATTCCCAGACCTCCTGTACTGTCCTACATGTTACAGTTATTCCCTGCCCTTCTGTACTTTCTGACCTGTTACAGTTATTCCAAGCCCTTCTGTACTGCCCTACATGTTAGTTATTCCCAGACCTTCTGTACTGCCCTACATGTTACAGTTATTCCCAGCCTTTCTGTACTGTCCTACATGTTACAGTTATTCCCTGCCCTTCTGTACTGCCCTACATGTTACAGTTATTCCCTGCCCTTCTGTACTGCCCTACATGTTACAGTTATTCCCTGCCCTTCTGTACGGTCCTACATGTTACAGTTATTCCCTGCCCTTCTGTACGGTCCTACATGTTACAGTTATTCCCTGCCCTTCTGTACGGTCCTACATGTTACAGTTATTCCCTGCCCTACATGTTACAGTTATTCCCTGCCCTTCTGTCAGTCCTATATGTTACAGTTATTCCCTGCCCTACATGTTACAGTTATTCCCTGCCCTTCTGTACGGTCCTACATGTTACAGTTATTCCCTGCCCTTCTGTACGGTCCTACATGTTACAGTTATTCCCTGCCCTTCTGTACTGCCCTACATGTTACAGTTATTCCCTGCCCTTCTGTACGGTCCTACATGTTACAGTTATTCCCTGCCCTTCTGTACGGTCCTACATGTTACAGTTATTCCCTACCCTTCTGTACGGTCCTTCATGTTACAGTTATTCCCTGCCCTTCTGTACGGTCCTACATGTTACAGTTATTCCCTGCCCTTCTGTACGGTCCTACATGTTACAGTTATTCCCTGCCCTTCTGTACGGTCCTACATGTTACAGTTATTCCCTGCCCTTCTGTACGGTCCTACATGTTACAGTTATTCCCTGCCCTTCTGTACGGTCCTACATGTTACAGTTATTCCCTGCCCTACATGTTACAGTTATTCCCTGCCCTTCTGTACGGTCCTACATGTTACAGTTATTCCCTGCCCTACATGTTACAGTTATTCCCTGCCCTTCTGTACGGTCCTACATGTTACAGTTATTCCCTGCCCTTCTGTACGGTCCTTCATGTTACAGTTATTCCCTGCCCTTCTGTATGGTCCTACATGTTACAATTATTCCCTGCCCTACATGTTAGTTATTCCCTGCCCTTCTGTACGGTCCTACATGTTACAGTTATTCCCTGCCCTACATGTTACAGTTATTCCCTGCCCTTCTGTACGGTCCTACATGTTACAGTTATTCCCTGCCCTTCTGTACGGTCCTTCATGTTACAGTTATTCCCTGCCCTTCTGTATGGTCCTACATGTTACAATTATTCCCTGCCCTACATGTTAGTTATTCCCTGCCCTTCTGTATGGTCCTACATGTTACAGTTATTCCCTGCCCTACATGTTAGTTATTCCCTGCCCTTCTGTACGGTCCTACATGTTACAGTTATTCCCTGCCCTACATGTTACAGTTATTCCCTGCCCTTCTGTACGGTCATGTCTTCTCTACCTCCTCTGGTTCATCCTCTTCATCCCAGTTTCTGTCCGTAAGTTCCCGGGTTGCAGTTCTCTTGGCCATTGTTAATCTGAAACATCCAGCAAGTAGCTTTACCACATGCTGCACTGTCCCCCCAATATGCATGTACACACTCACTAAAACACATCATGTACCCCTCAACAGTGCAGTCAAACATGACAAACTACTTGTTAAAAATGGGTGGTGAAATTGGGTTGAACATCGCGTTCATGATTATTGTACTTAGATAGCGACGTACATACACATGTGTGTGCTTGTACTAGTCCGGACTAATGCTGATTGCATAGCCCACTGAGATAGCATGCCACCGTTTAACATGAATACCAAACTCAGACACAGCATACGTATACAAACTCCAAGCCCACCAGTCCTTGCTTCAGCCCCTTAATGCCAAGCGCAAGGAAGGGTAACATCAAGTACCATCTCTTAATGTCTTTTAGTATGTCACGGCTGGGGATCGAATCGCCTACGTGCTGCTCTCCGGACATTCTACCACTAGACTACGGAGGCAGTCACTAGTTTAACATACACTGAATTATATTCAGATTTCAGCATGTTCAACTTCACAGCTGTCAAGCATTCATAGAAGTGTCATGACTTTGTGACTTCCATACAAGTCAAATTAGCATGATGTTTACAATGTGATTAGATGTTTACATTTTTGGTGAAACGCACACTGTGATGTGTGAAATTTGATATAAAACATCACTAGACATGATGATTTACCATTTAAATTGTATTTCTTGCTCTCCAAGGCATTGTTTTATATGCAGAGATTAAGATTACTGTGTGCATTTTCTCGTAAACTAAGCCAGAAATAGCAATCAGGAGGGCACACGTTTCCTCCCAATCTGCTGGTGATTCAGTTAAAACGTACCCAGTGATACCACTTCAAAGAATTTTGATGCAATGGTCAGAAGAAGTTGTATCTGAAATTATTATTTTATCAGGAATAATATATTCCAATAACGTGTTTTTTATTTTAGTTGCAGGTTTCACTATATATATATATATATTTAAAATTATAAGAAGCACAAGCTTAGCACTTTGGTAGAAGTGGTATGCAGGATATTATTATGCATGGATCAATTTGACCAGTCACCATAGGGACTTCCCGTGCGACATGTATTTCGATTGCAAAAAAGCTATGTTGATATTTAATAGACAAACTGCCTCAAATGTGACTTTTAACAAGTCACGGTATGTATCCATTTTTTGCAACTACATGTAATCTTTTAAGGAGTCAATAGCCGTAATCTGACCATGGCTGCTGTAAATAACGGTGAGTTGTGCGATCTACAGATCACTTCACATATGATTTTGCTGAAATTATTGTAAACATTATTATAATTATTGAATGTAATTTTGAATATAATTGATGAAATATATTGCAAACATTAGTCCAGATAAAAAATGAACACCTTTTTATAACCAGATATTAAAATAATAGGAATAAATTCCATCCTTCAGTTCAGATTTCTTTACTGGTATTTCTGGTGTTGTAAGATCACGGTGATCAGCTGATAATGTATACTGAACCACAAAATAAATGTCACGCCAAGTAACATTGCATGAAAAGTTGTCATTTAAATATCTGGGTAGTTTTTGTCTAAGTTTCTAAAATTTAACGTTACCTTGTAAGGAAAAAGAAAGTTGATGATAAAAAAAACCCAAATCAGATGACAATAAAACCGATCACCCAAACTCCACACCGCAACGGCCATGGTAACCCGATGCACGCAAGTTTCGTGCAAATTGAAATGCACATGCATTCCCCCATTTCTTGCCCTATAAAAACCCACCAAGATCGGATAACATTCATTCGTTATTGAATTGCTACCACATGCCAAGATTGACAAGAAATCAGCGACACCAAGCCCTTGTACGATTGCAAGCTGGACAAACCGCCTGGCAAGTAGCCAATGCATTTCAAGTCCACGTAAGGACCATAAACAGGCTCCAGCAACAGTACCAGACCACCAACACTACAGATGACCGACCCAAAGTGGAAGACCAAGGGTCACCACCTGACGTCAGGATCGTTAGATTGTGTGACAGCATCATCAAGATCGCTTTGTTACTGCTGCGGAAAGTCCTGGACAGACCATGGGGACATCCCAGCGACACATTAGTGCAGATACCGTCCTTCCACATTTGATGAGCAGACACCTTAACTGTAACAGGCCACACCAAGGACCCATTCTGACACCACATCATAGCCGGCACCGTCTTCAGTGGGCAACACAGCACCAGCATTGGCGCCACCAGGAGTTAAGAGTCCTCTTCTCAGACGAGAGCCATTACTGTATCTCAAAGCAGATGGCAGAGAGAGAGTCTGGCGACGCCGTGGGGAACGTTATTCGGATACTTGTGTTGTTGAGGGAGACTCGTGGGGTGGTCCGAGCATCATGGTGTGGGGTGGAATTGGGCTTGCACAGAGGGTCGGCCCTGTGGTCTTCCAGAACATTGGTCCAGGGAGAGGCAATGCTGTCACAGCAGCTCAGTACATTGATCAAGTCTTGAGACCACACGCCATACCTCATTTGGCATGTCGCCGTAACCACGAGTTTCTGCATGATAACGCCCGTGCCCACACTGCGAGAGCAACAAGAGACTTCCTACAGCAGAATGGCATCAGAACCATGCAGTGGACTGCCTCAGTCCCTTTTTAAATCCCATTGAGCACCTGTTGGACGAGATTCAAAGACAGCTGAATGATGTCCGACCAAGGCTGACAACTGCAGCTGAACTGTGTCAGACGTTCCTCAGAGTGTGGGCTCAAGTGCCTATGGCCTTCATCAACCGCCTCATCCATTCCATGTATCGACGTTGCATGGCAGTCATCAATGCACATGGTTGACACACAAGATACTGCCATTTTATCAGAGACTAGTGTTGCATTTCACTTTAAGAACATTTGACACTTTGATGACATGCATCAACCAAGTCAGTGATCCTGACCACCTGATCCCGTTAGTCACCTCTTACGGCAAGCATGGGTTGCTGATGACCTATTCTAACCGCTTGTACCAGTATCTGTATTTATCCAATCATCATATATTCTACTTTCTTGCAAACAAGATTATTCTAACCTATCTGCAAGTAACTATATTCAATCAGTGTATATTCTGTCATTCATCAGCTGTTCATGTTTATTCAATCAGCAATCAGTGCATATTCTGTCACAAGGTTGTGTTTTTGAGGAAGGAGTTATGCAGGGCTCAAAGTTCACTTTTAGACTTACTTGTTGATAGCTAAGTAAATATTATTAATCGGTAGCCAAAATGAAACGCCAGTCGCCATGCAACCTTACCTATTACAATCGTGATAAATAAAAGATTATGTTTATTTGAAGTTGTTTGTTTTTTATAACTGATTACAGTAAAAGACATCAAATTTGAACACAATGTTGCAATTGTAACAATGTTAAATTTTGAGCATTTAAATATCAGCTGGCTCTCAAACAGATGTTTGTTCCGAGAACTGTCGAACATGATATGATGACATGATTATGGAGAGTCACTTTTAAAAGATACTTTACTTCAATCTCCACTTTGTACACAATGGTGTATGCCTGATGAGTAGATATGAATCATCAATTTCAACCTGAGTTTAACCTGAAACAAAGTCTTGAAAGATTGAACAAATCAATATGTCAGTGAAATTGACTTTATTTAACAGCAGCAAATACAAGATTTCATGAAATCCACTTACCTGTTTCTTTATTATTATCAATGTTTACGTAATCAGTAAATTATTTTAAGAAGAATTAAAAATAATATCTATCTTCACCCATTTCCTGATAACAGCGGCTGTCCACTAAGTAACATGAAGAAATATCTACGTTTTCAAAGCTTCGTATAAATAACAAGTAAGTCGAAGACTAACCATTAGTTAGAAAGCTACATGACAGTAACCGATCCTGGAGACCTTTTGTTGCTGTAACATACAATTTTTGGGGTAAAAATTGGTTTCTAATGAAGCTTTCTTGCCGAATTCTGCTACAAGGTTATTGATTGGTCAAAATTGAGCATGTGACCTAAGGCAGCCAATCAAATTACAGCAATGGTACTGTCCTTGTGTATGATGAATTTCAGATTTTGACGAAAGTTTCTTTGTTAAATCGTGTTATTCTGAACGTTTTAAGCAGGAAATCGCAACCTATATTTAAAAAAATGGATAATGTTTGCGATTATTGAGTGTGTGATTATTGAGTGTGTGAGTATTGTTTTACACCACTTTTAGCAATATTCCAGCAATATCATGGCGGGGTACACCAGAAATGGGCTTCACACATTGTACCCATGTGGGGAATTGAACCAGGGTCTTCGGTGTGATGATCGAACACTTTAACCACTAAGCTACCCCACTGCCCCTAAAAAATTGAGATTAACCAATCAGGGATCACAACATAAAGGCATCACAGTCAGTTCAGTATGTGCTTTATATATAGACATGCAATGTTTGGCAAGGAAATATTTAACAGTTTATTTGTTATACTCCATAAGTGAACCCACCCTATATTAAAACTTAAAACCAACTTGTTGTCAAGGAAACAAACAATAACATTTTTTTTAAAAAAGTGTGAAATATCAAAAGGCACCAGTTCAGTATGTGCCTGGTGGACATGCAAAGTTTTGCAGAGAAATATTTAAAGTTTTCTGAGTTATGCTCCGGATATGATTTCGGGACCCATGCCGACACGCATGGACGGACGGAACCCATTTCAATATCCCCTGCCAACTACATTGGGGCGGGGAATAAAAATATACATTGACATACAAAGTCAAATAACATCAACTATGGCTTATTACGAGTCAATGCATACTATGGCGTTTATTAATTATGTATCCATTCACTGACAACTTGTCAAGGCGTCAATTGTGGTAATCTGATAGTGGTTGCTGAGTTCACAGACAAATGTGCAAAAATTATTTGACTATTTCCAAAACCTTTTCGTCCATAGGCTTTTTGTGTACAAAAGGTTTGAGTTCAGACAGGTTACAATGCCAAACATTACAAACTGTCAAGTCTTTGAAAGGCATTTAG